GAAAAGCCTTCCCCGCTAGAGCCGTCTAGTGCGCCACCTCCTTCGGTGGTAGCAACCCCTTCTCGGCGAAGGTGGCCAGCACTGTCTCATCCACAGTGGATGGCCTCCAGCTCGACATTGCGCTTTGGATTCACAAAATAGATCTATGAGTTCTCCTCTCCCTCATCCTACCCTCTCTCACTTAGGAACCACCGTGGCACGAACGCTCTCAGTGAGAAGGAAGAAGGAGGAGGGCGGCAGTTGGGGAATAGGCGAAGGAATGAAATGAAAGTCCTCTCCCTTCCCCTATTTAAGGAGGAGGTGCAGCAGTTGGGGAAAGGCAAAGGATTGGGGTGAAAAACCCTCTCCCTTCCCCTATTCAATGCGGATGGGATGCGACGGGATGCATCCTGACCGATGGGATGCGCCCCACCCAACGAGATGGCGCCTAATTAGACATAACGTATCCTAGGCATTGCCCACCACTACCGCACGCTGGGCACGGGAAACAAGGCACAACTGCGCGTAGGCGGCTCTCCGCCTTCCCAGGCAAGACTTGGAAGGGCCCAACAATGGGATCTCCACCAAAGAAAGACCAACGGGCTTCCTGAGTTAATCGGATGGCTCAGCGAACACCGAGGGACATGTAAGGAGCAGAGGGATGCCCCATGTGGGCCACGACCGACTCCGTCACGAACGACGAGCGCGGATCCTGTTCGGACATATCTGATAAAAACTCCTCAAGCCTGTCACTCGGGTTGTCAAGGTAACTCTACCAATCCCACTTACTTAATTTTTTCCGGATACATGATCATTCATTCATCCATTCTCATACACGTGTTCACACATTCATTCACACATTCATTCATCACATACATCCAAAGCATCGCATATGTAGCTAATGCATCACAATGCTTCGTGTTGCACCATGAAATGGTAGTTGCCTCATTCAACATGAGCAATGACCGACCGGGGTTTGAAGGCTGGCCCGCAAAGGGCTCGAGGCTGCCTCGCATCAAACAGAGCCAGGGGAGAAAACACAGATGAGCCCCCGCGGCCCTCGCCCAGTCTGCTCCAAAGCAGACAAGGTCATCTCAAACATTCTCATTCGATCCTAACCTCGAGCCATGCCCATAGAATCTCCATCGAGGGGAGGCCAGCGGGCCACCTGGGTTGGTCTCTGGAACGACCCGAGCATCTGGCGGGACATGGGTTAAGGAGCAGTGTAATGCCACATGAGCGCTATGCTGACCCCATCATGAACGATGGACCTAGATTCCACTCGAACATGCCCGTTAGCGAGCACACCGAGCGCGTCGCTCGAGCCATCAAGGCAAGCATTGTTAGCCCAGCCCCTCTGGTTGCGAGGACTACGGATGGGATAACGCACGGAACTAGACCAACCCCTATCAAAACCCAACGGGGCTCGAAGGCTCAGGTCGCCCGACATTGACTCGGGAAATCAACTGACCGCGTAGGTCGCTGGTGGGACAAACACGAGCAAACACAACGAAAGACAGTCTGCGGCCCTAGGAAAAAGAGTACCAAGTTGCTTAGCCTCCAATCGACTTACTAGTCGGACGCAGGCTCGGGGGCTACACCCATGGGTGCGCTCATGGGCACCCGCTGTCAAAATAAAAAATTCCCCCACTGCCAAGATGAAAAAACCCACCAGACGATTCTACCCGAATCGCCCGGGGGCTCGGGGGCTACACCCACGGGTGCGCTCGCGCGCACCCACTGTCAAAACGAAGAATTCCCTCGCTGCCAAGACAAAAATCCCCTAGACAATTCTACCCAAATCGCCCGGGGGCTCTGGGGCTACAGCCACGGGTGCGCTCGCGCGCACCCGCCGTCAAGACAAAAATCCCCCAGACGATTCTACCTGAATCACCCAGGGGCTCAGGGGCTCCTGTCAGGTTCATAAACCCGAGGTCCCTCATGGACTGCTTTCTAGCAAAAGCTCGGCCCAGCAGACGACGCTGTGAACGACGCGCAACTCCTAGGCCGGCCCAAAAAACCTAATGACAGGCTAGAAGGGCGATCCTGGCTCGCTTCCGACTCTAGCCTGCACCTTCGACCAGAAGGCCTGGATAAGGAGGAACGACGCTCGCTTCCGACTCCGGCCTACCTCTCCGACCAGAAGGCGTGGCCAAGGAGGAACGGCGCTCGCTTCTGACTCTGGCCTGTCTCTCCGACTGGAAGGCCTGGCAAAGGAGAGGACGACGCTCGCTTCCGACTCCAGCCTGCCTCTTCGACCGGAAGGCCTGGCAAAAGAGGAACGGCGCTCGCTCCCATCGCATCTGACTCCGGCCCGCCTCTCCGACAGGAAGGCTTGACTAAGAAGGGACGACACTCGCCTCTGACTCTGACTCGCTTCTCTGACCGGGAGTACACCAAGCCTCTGCTTACAGCTCTTCTCCGACCGGGAGGCCGGAGCCGACTGGGGAACGACCGACCGGGGACGCCCACTCGGTGAAGACCCAGGAAATGGACAGAGCAAGTAAGGTAGGGCGCTCCAGTCAACCGCAATATCAAGGACCATACCCTGCACACCTGGAGGACAGTACTGTCAGGCCGTGTCAGCAGGAAGCTCCGCAACCTTCCAGACATGTCAGAACATGAACAATGTTGTTGGTGCCGACATTTATCCTATAGTATGGTAGGCGCCGACATCTGCCATACCAGATGAAGATGATGAAACCTACCACATGCATCTGAACATCAACAGTGTTATGGGCGCCGACAAACCACCTTGTACCCGACGGCAGGGCAACAAGACTAGGCAACACATACACACTCTTTCTCTCACACTCTCTCTTGTATAGCCATCCCCTTCATCTATAAAAGGGGATGCGCTCTCTCCAAAAGGACGATGGACGATTCGACCACCCGAGGATCGATTAACGAACGATTCGAACAACCTATGATTCGAACGATTCCAACAGAGCAGACGCTCAAATACTTAGCGCACATAGGAGCTCCCATCTCTCTCGGCCCTTCGGTCAAGAGTCCGACCGGACCTCTTGCACCCCCCATCTTACTCCCTCTTGTTTGTAACCCCACAGCAAACTTCGAGCTCCTTGGCTCGGGAATAAAGTCACTGACCGACTTAAACTAGACGTAGGGCATGTTGCTTGAACCAGTATAAACCCCGCGTCATTGAGTGCTAGGCCACATCCGATCACAACGTACGGCAAAACTACAAATATTTATGTGTTGGACACTTTTTGCACCCACAATTAGCAATATTTATATCTCTAAATAAATTTATTATGGAAATATATTCAATGATTTACCAATGATACCAATTATGTACCATAAATATTAATATTGACATATATATTTGGCCAACATTGGATACTTCAGAAGCGGAGCAATTTGACTTCCTACATATTAATATCAGACCCCCAATGAAATTCGATTATGGTCCCAGGCCAACCAAACATGAAGTAACCTAACAAATGGAATGTGAACCAATTATAGTACATATAAAAAGCCAACCCAAACAACACCTTAGATGTAGTTGAAAGGGGTCGGATCATTTTTAGCATGTGCATACCATAAAGTCATTGTCACTTGCTACCATGACAATAGGCACGATGAGTGTGTTTGGATGGCAAACTGAGTAGCAGCGTATCCAGCCACAGGCAGTGAAAATCGAACGCTTGAGTTGGACCGGGCACCGTTCGCCAGGAAGCAACCAAACAGACCTGATATGCTTCGCTCCCGTCCTAATGTCTCATCTCCTCTACAACATTTGTAACATATGCAACATTCATATCTACCTTTGTAACATCTAGATAGAACACTTGCAACATACATCTAAAACATTTAGAACATACACTTGTAACAATGTGTATATCCTTTTACAACATATGCAACATCTAGATCTACTTTGATAAAACCCAGATGAAACACTTGCAATATATGGCTGAAACACATGAAACATACGCTTGCAACATGCGCTTTTAGCTCAAACATCTACTTGCTGCTTGGACAAATAGAGGCTCGTCGACTCGGAGCACGATACCGCAGAGTGGCATGCCACTTAGGTGGAGAAGCCATTCCTGGTGGAGAAGGCGTCCGACATAGTGGAGAACGTCGTGATAGTTGGATGGCCTGGTGGGGAGGAAGGCTGGCGGGCGGCGGCGCTAGAGCGCGGTGGAGAGCCCCATGGTGGCATGGTTGCACTAGAGCACGCCGTGGCGGACGGTGGTGCGTTGAATGGAGAGGAATGTGGGTTCTGGAGAATGGAGACGACGGGTTCACGAGCGAATACGTCCGTCCACTCGTTCGTCCGTTGAGTGAAGAGTGCTGGGCTATTGGGCTGGTGTCGTGGCCTACCAACGAAAAGGTCTAGATGGATGATTGTCCTTAGCACAACATTACCGTAAGAATTCGAGATAGGAGAAAAATCTGCATACAAGTCGTACCCGAATCAACAAGGATCTACAAGGTAGTCATGGGTTACACCTGCCATGAAAAAGGGACAATAGGGTCATGAGAAATTGAGATATTGTTTATCCCATCGATCAAAACGAACTGAATAAACTCTAACGAAATGATGACTTGCTTGTTCCAAAGAATAAGATTATTATCCAGAATTCTAGATCTATTATTACGAAACACGGTACAAATCAAATAAATAGCCAGATACAGTAGAATATACAAGTGAAAACATTTCACTGACATCTAATTATGTTTCATCTATATATAGAAAGTTAGAAACCCTTCTATATTTGACTAACGTAGTAAATAAATTAATTATCAGGCCCAATAAGCACGACACAAACAAAAGATAAACTAACGTATGCCACCGTGAGAAAGTACTGCAGGCTGATTTGTGTGAGAGAAAAATACTATTCCTGGCTGAAAACACTGTTCTAGCTAAAAAAACACTGTTCTGGCTAAAAAAAATAAACTGAGAAGTACGAATTATAACAAGCGAACAGGGCCATAGGCGTGGAGTGGAGCCAGGGACAGGGAGCATGCATGCAAGTGCAAGCAGTAGTATTTCTCTACTCACTGAGGAAATCCCCGAGGCTGAAGTTTTTGCCGTCAGCCCACGCCTTGTAGTCGACCCCCGGCAGGGTGAGGCCGTTGTACCAGCCCTTGTCGTCGCCAACGGTGTAGTTCTTGTACGCGTCGGCGCCGCGCGGGGCGGTGACAGCCAGCGCGGCCACCACCACCGCCACGAGGGACGGCACGATCATCAGGCCGCGGCGGCCGGAGGAGAGCAGCACCATTTCGGTAGTACTATATGGTAGGTTGCCTCTCAGGGAAGAGACACACAGATGCTAGCTGCTCTCCTGATGAATGATGAATGATGTTTGTATCATTGGGAAGGGGGTTGGGGAGATGCACGGGGCGGCTTAAAAGAGCGATGGAGCTCTAAAGCGTGAGAGAAAGTTGCTTGGTAGCATTATGTTTCTTTCGTAATAATAGCCCCGTTCGCGTGCCCTTAAATCCGGCTTGATCCGTTTCTTTTTTCATCCGAAACAGTGTTTTTCTCTCATAAATTCCTCCAGCATTCCGCCAAACCATCCAAATTCCTCCAGAATTCCTCCAAGCGAACAGGCCCAATGACGTTGCATGACTCGGCATGCGATTCTGCCGTATTGCAGGAATGCCACTATGCTTGCCGGAAATGGTGACTCACCATGCCACCACGGTCACTGGACTAATTTCTTTAAAACATTTTTAAACTATTTTTAAAACTGACATTTTTTTTCTTCAAAACTAACACTTTTGGATGCGTCAACTGACATGGTGCGGACAAACCACTCTACAGCGCCATGCATGGCCCCGCGACCAGTCTGCCACCATGGCAGCGACTGGTAACGTGGCCTAGCTCTGTAGCGCCATAGATCATGGTGCGGCACCGACTTGCCATCGCGCACGACGTGGCAGGCCCCAGTAAAGGCCCGTGACGCGGCTCTCTCTTCCCATTCTCTATCTCTCTCACTCAGTCCCAGTAAAGGCACGCCCGCTGCCCGTGGCCCGCCATCGCGCCCGCCACCACCCTCGCCGTTGCGCCACTGCCACGCCCGCGACTGCCGCCGCCCTGCCACGCACGCCGCCGCCCGCCGCCGCGCCACGCACGGCCGCCGTGCCACGCACGGCCGCCGTGCCACGCACGCCCGCCGCCCGCCATTACCCTCACTGCCGCACCGCCGCCCTCACTGTCACCGCCGCTGTACACCGGTCCCCACTGTCGCGCGCCCCTCCATCTATCTCGCGTCCACCTGCCGCTGCCGCCGAGGCCAACGCCCGCGCCGCCCCCTCTCGGCAGCCGCCTCCCGGCCCGGTCTAGTGCGGCGCCCCCGCGAGAATGAGTGCATGCTGTTGCCGCGACGACGAGCGCCGCCGCCGCGAGGATGAGAGCACGCTGCTCCCGGTAGGATGAGCACCACAGCCATGAGGACGAGCGCTGCCGCCATGAGGACGAGAGCACGCTGCTGCCTCGAGGTACTCCCCTTGTGTATTTGTTGATTGAATCAAAATTGTTGTTATTTAGGGTTAAGATGGAAAATTAGTTTGAATGATTAGTTAGTATAGTTAGTAAAATTAGTTAGTATAGGCAGTATAGTAAGTTAGTAAAGTTAGTTAGTTTAGTTAGTACAGTTAGTGAGTCTAGTTAGTATAGTTAGTGAGTCTAGTTAGTTATTGTATTTAGTACAATTAGTTGTTGTAGTTAGTCTTGTATAGGTGTTAATATTAGATTTGTTAGTATAGTTATAGTTAGAATAGGTATTACTATGACTTTGGACGGTACGTTTGACGATTTCGACGACTTGATGAAGTTTCTTGAAATGCTTTTGTAGATCGATTGTTGTGTTAGAGTTTTTTACGGATGAAGTGTTAGGAGAGAAGATGGTATGTTTGAGGATATGGAAGAAGAATTGGAATGGTTTGATGAACCTCCTAGTTTCAATGACCTTTGTGTCCGTTTGAATGTAAAGTTTGGCGGTGATTTCACACTGAAGGGAAGGTTTGATATTGGGAAGACTAGGGCACACTATGTCCTGATACTCTTGCACGACCCTGCTCACTGGTCCCGCTACAATAGGGTGCTCCAAGGTTCCAATGTGCCCATGGCTGAGGTGGTGGTGGAGAATGGGTATAGGATACAGGGTGTCCTGGATGGGCCGTCCATTGACGGTGTTGGAGACAATGAGCGAGAATTGAGGGTCGAAGGGGAAGCAACTCAGGGTAACATGGATTTAGATGGTCAGTTGATGTAGGAGTAGTTTCAGTCAAGTCAAGTAGGTTGTATAAGCAATGACTTCGATGTGAACGAGTTCGAACTGGAAGAGGAGGAGCAGTAGGAGGAGGACAGGATCGGCGATGTAGTTAGCAGTGATTCGGACGATTCAGATGATGACCAGGGAGGTAGGCATGGTATGCCCACACCGGTTGATGCCATGCCAGTACCTATTCATGGTATGCCATTACTAGTACCAACTGAGGTTTTGCATGCTATCTAGGCTCAGGGTAGACTAGTCATAGATTTGCTAGTAGATGATACCCCCTATGATTCATGGGATAGAATTAGCGAAGCGCAGCAGTATGTTCCACCACCACCTTACACAACAACTGAGCTTGAGCAACTAAGGTCGTTGAACGTACCTTTTAGGGGCGTTCCGAACTATAGGGATGTCAGCATGATAGATATGATAGTTTGTGACATCGGTCTCCAGATGTGTAGGAAATCATTGTATGACCATGAGAAAGAAATCCTTAGTAAGGGGATGATATTCAATACAATGTCAGAGATGAAGCTCTTCCTTCAAGACTATGCTGTGTATCACCATAGGCCATACAACGTCACTCATCGGACCAGGAGTTGAGGTACCACATGATATGCAAAAATGGTTGTATGTGGAGGTTAAATGCACCAGAAAGACAGAGTGATGGAAAGTGGAGGATAAGTAAAGTGGTCGAACCCCACACTTGTCTAACAAATAGGGGGAAGGAAAATCATCAACAACTCAATGCACGTTACCTTGCCCGTCATATATTGGGGCTCGTTGATGACAATAATGACATTTCAGTGTCTTCATTACAACAGTCCATATCTGGATTCGTTAAGTATGATGTGAAGTACGGAAAGGCTTTGCGTGCTAAGAAAATTGCCTTAGCGATTCGTTGGGGTAGTTGGGAGGAAGCGTACAACAGGGTGCCCCACATCTTATGTGCAATGCATTACTACAACCCTGGCTTAAAATGGTTTGTGGACACCGGAGGGATGTATTTTCAGGACCCGTTGAGGCATGTCCTCTATCATGTGTTCTGGTCGTTCAGGCAAACGGAACATGCATTCTAGTTTTGTCGGCTCGTCGTACTTGTTGATGGCACTTTCCTGATAGGAAAGTACAGGGGCACCTTGATGATGGCTGCTGCTGTTGATCTTGAGGACCAGATAGTACCCATGGCTTTTGCTTTGGCAGAGGGAGAGAATAATGAATCGTGGTCATGGTTCATGCGGCTTCTACGTATACAAGTGCTTGGCCCATCTTGCACTATATGTTTGATCTTGGACCATCACCTAGGGCTTCTTAGTGCTGTAGTTGAGCATATAGATGGGTTCCCACCTCTAGTGCACAGATGGTGCATGAGACACTTTGCCGCTAATTTTTGGCGGCGTCAGAGGAAGAAGGAGGTATGTGACAAGGTAAAGGCTCTATGTTGTGTACGTACAGAGCACCAGTTCAAGGAGACAAAGAGAGAACTAGACAAGATGCTAAATGAAGTGGGAAAGTCCTAGTTAGAGGCATAGATGGAACAGAAGGCTAAGTGGGCGTTAGTATATGACGAGGGGGGTTTCAGGTATGGCATCATGACCACTAACTCCTCGGAGTCTTTCAACCATGTATTCACTGAAGTTCGATCGTTGCCTTGTCTGGAATTGTTGAGTTCTCCTTTCATAAGTGCAACGAATATTTTGTCAAGAGGTGGGAACTTGCGCAGAGGAATATAGCTGTGCAGGGGCGTTTTGGAAAGGCCAGAGCAGAACATTTGAAGCAAGCCGAGGAATTGGCCAAGTAGCACATCGCCGAGCTGTATGGACCCCGCCGCCATATCTTTAGTGTATGGGGCAAGGGTGGCATAAGCTTGGGCGGTGAACGTTATGGTGGATGGAACTACTGAGTTAATCTTGAAAAAGTAGAGTGTAGTTGCAACATACCTCAGATCATGCATGCCCCTTGCTCTCATATGATCATGGCCTACAGGGTTCGTGGGTATAACTATGAGGATCTGACATATATGTCACCCTTGTATCTCCGTTCGAACACCGTTAGTATTTGGGAGAGGAGCTTCGAGCCATACCTTGACCCGACACAGTGGCCACCTTATCATGGTTATGACTACGTGTCGCATCCGAATCTAATAGAGGTAGGCAAGGGTAGGAGGAAGAAGAAGCGACTCAAGGGGGACATGGACGCTATGAGAGGGTACGGCGAAGACATGTACGGAGGGGGAGACTTCAATGAGACCCGTGGCAGGAATCTTTGCTCTGTTTGCAAAGAACCTAGTCACAAGGCTAGCAGGGATAGAAGACAAGGGCAGCATGTGCATATAGCATAAATTTTATTATATTAATGTTAATTGTTTGCTATGCTATTTAAAACTACTGTGTTAGTACATTGGAACCGTGGAGATATGTTGTAACACCCCTATTGTTTAAATATTAAAAACCGGACATATCATCATATGCATTGCAAAGCATTGGTCATACTGTAAACTTTGAAATGCATTCACTAAAATAATTTTACAATTATGTTATAAGTATTGCTTGGTATTGTTTGAGTCAAGTTTGAAATCCTTGTATTGATTTGAAATTCCGAAAACCCTGATTTTCAATATTTAAATCCGACCCTAAAAAACCATTTCAAAATCAAAGCACATTTTGGGGTTGAGTCTTAAAACAAAGTTGTAGAGCTTGTCAAGTTGTACAAAGTTTGTTTTTGGAGTTTTTCAAGTTGTTTAGTAAAATTTGAAGTTATTTGAAAAGGCGAAATTCCTTAAATGTCCCCTTTTCGAATTCAAAAGTTCATTTCAAAATGTAGACCGAATTAGGGGTTGGTTATAAAAGCAAAGTTGTAGAACTTTAAATTTTGAACAACTTTTGTTTTTGGAGATTTTTGAGTTGTTATGAAAATTTGGGAGTAATTTGGGAATTTTGGCGAATGGCATTTCTGTAATTTTTGTGAACAGTGTCCACCACTGATGCTACATTGCTGGT